ACGAAATTCTTTTTCCATCTGTGGAGAGTGATCTCCTTTAGTAAAATCATTTTTCATAGATTCGACTGTTTTGTTATTTGTTTCTCCAACAATTTGAGCCCAACTAGTTGTATTACTAGTACCATTAGCACCAGGTTTACCCGGTTGTTGATTTTTTTTGTCCGACGAATTGATGTTATCATCATTGGAAGTATTTTGACCATTTTTTTGTGTTTTTTCACTATTTTCTTCATTTTTTTGTGTTTTTTTAATATTTTCTGATTCAGGATTGACATTTTTATTTGCTTTTTTCATTTTTTTCTTCATTTTTTTGGTTTTTTTGATGATTTTCTGGTGATTGTTTTCTTCCTTCAGCTTGAGCTTCGGAGTGGCTAGATTGATGAGGAACAGTGCTTTCTGCACCATTCAAGTTGGTAGAAGATCCTGGAGGATCTGTAGAGGATATATTATCCTTAGGTAGTTCTTTATTTCGTTCCATATAGAAGATTCAGGTTTCGCCCATTGAAAATTTTGCAAAAAAATAAGTTTGGACGAGACCGGAGTCGAACCGATGACCTTTTGCTTGCAAGGCAAACGCGCTACCAACTGCGCTACACGCCCGAAAGTTCAACCTTAAAATCTGCTGAAAGTTTACACCATCTTTTCTGGTTGGGCCACATCAAATTTTTGATGTCGTTTTATTCAAAACTTTTGTATACAAACTTAGTAATTTTATGTACTCATCTAAACATAAAAGCACTCCTATTTCTTATGGTATACTTTTTATTTCATTATATGAAGTTTTAATTTTTTTTGTTTTAGAAGGCTTTGTTTGTTTTGTAAATTTGATAAATAGTGGTTCATAAACTTTTGAAAAATTAGCTAAAAAATTAATTTGTAACTGATTGTTGTTTAACTAACTTCCAACTTCTTCTTTGGATGGGTTTTAGCCCCAATGATAGTTTCCTGGAGTTTTTGGAGTGCCTGGTGGCTAAATAGAGCTTTAAAGATGTATATACTTAAGAATATTAAGTAATCCGGATCTTAACGCCCTTAATGACAGATATTGTGTGTACATGGACTACGTATTAATTAAATCTCGTCAATGTCATTATTGTATACGAACTTTGAATAAACACTAGGTAAAACGATTCAACAATTGTCGAAAAGTGTTTGATCCACATGTACTTTGTCCTTACCATTGAGAGCATGGTTGAAAGAAGTCACCGAATACATGTCCAGAAAATATAGCTGGTGAAGCATTCATCCTCAACTTTTGAAAATAATCTAACAACCTATTGAGAGCCTCTGACCTCGCTTTAACAATGATTGAAGGCGGGAAGCTGCAAGGCAAAGTAATTGTGTTCATTAACCTCTTCAACCAAACCCTGCCCATTCAACAGAGAAACATACAACTTCCCCATCGTCTTTGTCAATATCCATATCATTATTTTCACTTCCAATCAGCCAGACTTTTTTGACACCGGTGGCTAATCTTCCTCCATTAACAATATTCATTAAACCGATATCTTGATCCCAACCAACAGCGTTGATTATCAAATGAGCATGGTACCTAAGCGGATCACCTGGATAACCGATAAATTTACCACCAAATCTCAAACCTGGAGCTAGAAAATATTCCTTAGATTTCAAATAATCGAAAATCAGATAGTTGAGACGATCATAATTCAATGATTCCAATAACCTCTTTTGAAGTTTGATGTCTTTTGCATAGATTGACTTTAACAATGTGTTATTTGGCAATGAGTTTGAATCATCATAAATGTTTACAAACAAACTCTGAGTTATCAAAGCATCACTAGGTGGAGTTTTCTGAACCTTTTTCTTTAAGGAGTTTAGTTTATCATTTAATTGGTTTAATTTTTGTTCTTTTTGTGATTGAAATCCAATAGCTCGTTCATATTGAATACTTTTAATATCCTCTTCATCCAAATCATCAACCAATTCTTTTATGAGTTTCTCGTCAGGAATCAAATAAGCATACCCTTTAGTGACCAACCATATCACTTCTTCTACCATCAATTGCAAAGGTATACCTAAAAAGATGTTTTGCTGAGGAGCAGTTGGTAAAGTACCTGATAAAACACCGCCTATACCAAGGGAGCGTAATGATTTAATGACATCCAAATTGAACACGAGGGCTTTTCCAGCTATGATACTGATCGGTACTCTTGAATCATGGCTATTCGATGGATCCACAGCCTCCATCGCCTTCCAGTTTACCCCAAAATGATGTGATGATTTAGTACTCGTAATGTTCAGTACATCACCGAATTAGTTTGTGAATTTTCAAATTTTTTTCAGTAGCGTACCCGCGAAAGCTGCCTACACTGTTCTGCCTAGAGTTTCCGCTGGGGGCTGGATGTCTTCTCGGAAAAGAACCCTGGCGTTGTCGGGGTTAGATTTTAGGAGCAGTACACTGCGATGAGCTTGATTCAGGGTTCAAACCGGCCGACATATTGTATATGTTCAAATTGACAAAGCATCAGCACAAGCTCAATCAAAGAACCTGGGTCTAAGCGTGTAGAGTAACCCATTAACAAGTATCATGTTATCTCCCTGATACTGAAACATAAAGATTGTTCAAGAAGTGAAGCTTGGAGTGTACCACACTTCGTGTTTTTCGCTTCTTTTGCGTGGGAAAAGGCAACAATTGAAAAAGAAGGCAGTGCTATGGCGAGTGGAAAAGGTAAACTAATTAGAAGCATACACCTACAATTACCCAAGTCGGTGAGACTGATTTTTAATCTGGAAATCTGTAATTGTTGTACCTATCTCTGCTGCTTGCTCAGGTTGTTCACGGCTTTCATCAAGCTTGATTCTGGTATTTATCAAAGGGTACTTCTGCACTTCAAGTTGAACTAGACAAGATTTAGATCATATTCATACATCACTTACAAGGGCAAAGAGGCTAATTGTTCAAAGTCACAATCTACTTTGATCACTCAAAAGAAATTTCAGAAGTATTGCGCTTGCTTTCAAAATTCGTTTCGTTAGGTTAGTTGAGCTTTGAAAGATTTCATCACCATTAACTTATCATCATCAAAAGCCCAGGTCAAATAATACAACTTCAAGTGTGCACGGTTTTTACCACAGCCCTGAATTCAGATATTATCAAGAGAATAAGATCAGCTACACCAAGAGAATTATTCAGGAAACTTGGCCGATAATTGAATCATCAAGAAAGGCATCAACTACAGTGCTCCATTTTGTGGGTACGTTTATATACTTGTGATAAGTATGCAATTATAAAGCTGATAATATTATAATAGTCAGTATGTCTAAATTATCAGTAAATCCAAACTTGAAAACACATTACAATGAACAAGAGGACAATATGATTGAATTATCTCCAGTAAAGTCTCATGAATCAAACTCATTTAGACATCACAACAACAATCAAGGCAATAATAGCGCCTTCCATAGCATATCAAGAATTACAACTTCAAGATCATTACGTCCTCAAAAAACTTCAACAAGCTCATTTAATATAGATATAGATGATTTAAATGAACTTCAAGATCCAAAATCCATCAAGTTTTTCCAAAAATTATTCAAAAATGATTCTACAAATTTTTATCAAGCTTTAAAATCAAGTCCAAAAACTGGGTTAGACTCTTCATTACCAGACTTAGATGATAGAACTAAACATTTTGGTATAAATCAATTACCAGAAAAGAAACCAAAATCCTTTTTCGAGTTGGCTTGGGAAGCTTTACACGATAAAGTGTTGATATTGTTATCTGTTGCCGCTGTGGTTTCATTTGCATTAGGTTTATATGAAACATTTGGCCAACCTCCAGAATATGACCCTGAAGGTAATGAAATACCAAAAGTTGAATGGGTTGAAGGTGTGGCAATCATAATTGCAGTTTTGATTGTGGTTCTAGTTGGTGCTGCTAATGATTACCAAAAGGAATTACAATTTGCCAAATTGAATAATAAGAAGGATAATCGTGAAATCACAATTATCCGTAGCGGTTATGAACAAGTGATTTCAATTTTTGATTTATTAGTTGGTGATATTTTAACTTTACAAACTGGTGATATAATGCCTGCAGATGCTGTTTTGATCCAAGGAAATTGTGAATGTGATGAAAGTGCTTTAACTGGTGAATCTCATACTATTCATAAATTGGCAATTGATCGTGCTCTGAAAATCTATGATGAGAAATTCCCAAATCATGATGTTGATATTGGTACAAAAGGTGTTCCTGATCCTTATTTAATTTCTGGGTCAAGATTATTAGAAGGTGTTGGTAAGGCAATGGTTACTGCCGTGGGACCAAATTCTATTCATGGTCGTACTATGGAATCATTAAAAATTGAACCTGAAGTTACTCCTTTACAAGCTCGCTTGAACAATTTGGCTGATGGTATAACCAAATATGGTTTATTAGCTGCTTTGATTTTATTTATTGTTGTTTTTTGCAGATTCTTGGCTGATTTGCCTGAAGGGAAACCTTATAATGATTTGACACCTGCTCAAAAAGGTTCAAAATTCTTAGATATTGTCATTACTGCAATCACAATTGTTGTTGTTGCTGTTCCTGAAGGTTTACCATTAGCTGTAACGTTAGCTTTAGCATTTGCCACAACCAGAATGGCTAAAGATGCAAATCTTGTTAGAGTTTTAAGAGCTTGTGAAATCATGGGTAATGCAACTGCTGTTTGTTCTGATAAAACTGGTACTTTGACTGAGAATAGAATGAAGGTTGTGAATGGTAATGTTTCAGGATTAGAATTTGATGATAATGCTCATTCTACTATTTCGAAATCAAGTGAATTGAAATTATCAAAAGATTTAAAATTGGCACTTTTAACCAATATTTCATTAAATTCAACATCTTTTGAAAACAAAGAACAAGATAGTAATGAAAATCCATTCATGATTCCAAAGAAAAGACATTGGTGGTCTAAAAAAACTAAAAAACCATCAATTTTACAAGATAGTATGATTCATGAACCTTACCTTGGAAGTAAAACTGAAACTGCATTATTATCATTAGCTGATAGATCATTAGGGATGAGAAATGAATCAAATTTAACCAATTTAAGAAATGATCCAACTTTATTAGGTATTGAATCTATTGTTCAAGTTATACAATTTGAAAGTTCAAGAAAATGGGGTGGTATTGTTGTTAAATTCACAAATTCCAACAAATATAGATTTTATGTTAAAGGTGCAGCTGAATTAGTATTTGGAAGATGTGGGTTCAAATATGATGAAAATTCTTCAATTGTTAAAATTGATAAAGATTCTCAAGATGAACTATATTCAAAGATTAATTCTTATGCAGAAATGGCACTTAGAACAATTTCATTAGCTCATAAAGATTTTGAAATAGAATCATCATGGCCTCCAAAATTTTTACAATCTGAAAAAGATCCATCAGAAGCTGATCCTGAATTATTACTAGGTGATGTTATAGAATTCCCATTATCCAATTCATCATCAGTTCCAAATATTGTTATAAATAATTCAGATGAAGATTTTGGTTTAGTTTTAGATGGTATTGTTGGTATTAAAGATCCACTACGTCCAGGTGTTAAAGATGCAGTGGAACAATGCCAAAGAGCTGGTGTTACAGTTCGTATGGTTACAGGTGATAATATAACTACAGCTAGAGCTATTAGTTTGAGTTGTGGTATTTTAACTGAAGATTCAATTAATGATAAGATGGCTTGTATGGAGGGCCCAATTTTCAGAAAATTATCTAAAAAGGAAAGATTTAAAATTGTACCAAATTTAAAAGTTTTAGCAAGATCATCACCTGAAGATAAAAGAATTTTAGTGGAAACTTTGAAAAAACAAGGTGAAGTTGTTGCAGTTACTGGTGATGGTACAAATGATGCACCAGCTTTAAAATTAGCAGATGTTGGGTTTTCAATGGGTATTTCAGGTACTGAAGTGGCAAGAGAAGCTTCTGATATTATTTTAATGACTGATGATTTTGCAGCAATTGTTAATGCTATTAAATGGGGGAGATGTGTTTCGATTTCTATTAAAAAATTTATTCAATTTCAATTAACTGTTAATATTACTGCTGTTGTGCTGACATTTGTTTCTGCTGTTGCATCAAGTGAAGGTAAATCTGTTTTAACAGCTGTGCAATTATTATGGGTTAATTTAATTATGGATACGTTAGCTGCATTAGCATTAGCTACAGATAAACCAGATGCTAATATATTGGATAGGAAACCTGATGGACGTAAACAACCATTAATTGCAGTTTCCACATGGAAGATGATTATTGGACAAAGTTTATTACAACTGATTATAACATTAACTTTACATTTTGCTGGTGCACAAATTTTTTTCCCAAATCAAGATATAACAACTCATCAACAAACAGAATTGGATGCATTAACTTTTAATACATTTGTTTGGTTACAATTTTTCAAATTATGGGTTACAAGGAAATTAGGTGAAGGTGATGGAATTTCTAATGTTCGTGATCGTATATCAATGCAAAATTTAAATTTTTTCCAAGATTTATTTAGAAATTGGTATTTTTTAGCAATTGCAGGATTAATTGGTGGTGTTCAAGTTATGATTATGTTTGTTGGGGGTACTGCATTTTCAGTTGTTAGACAAAGTGGAGCAATGTGGGGCACTGCAATTATTTGTGGGATGTTATCATTACCATGGGGTGTTGTTATTAGAATTATACCAGATGAATGGGTTATTAAAATTTTCCCAACTCGTGCATTTAAAAAATTTGAATATATTGCAAGTTTTAAATGGATGAAATTTTGGGGTGGTAAAAAAAACAATAGAAAAATTAAATTACATGATGATGAAGAAGATGATCCATTATTTTATGCAAATGTTCCAACATTCCAAAAAATTAATAAAGATATCTTGTATGTTAAAGATCATGATGGTTCAAATGAATTAAACCCAATAAACATTTATCAAAAATGGAGAAGATCAAGATCAAATTCATCAATTGATAACACTTCAGATGATTCTACAATGGTTGATAGTTATCATACAATATCTGCATTAACTATGGTCCCTACAGTTGTTGGTGGTGCGGTTGCTGGATGGTCACCATTAGCTTCAGGTTCAAAGAATAATTCAATGGAACATCCATGATTGACAGTATCCTATTTTTTTGTTTTATGATATGTATTATATATGATTTTTGATTTCGTACAGCTTGCAATTTATTTAATTTTTAAGAAATGAACATTATTTTGAATAAACTTATTGATTCCTTTCTGTACATATTATACACCCTTTTTAATTTAAAACCTGTTTAAACAATTCATCATCTTCATAATCATCAATTTTTTTACCATTTAAATAATCTTGTTTTGATTTTGAAATTTTTTTAACAAAATCATTATAAATATTGAAAAACCCCATGCCTGAACTATTCAAATTCTTAAAAATTGGTAATAAGTTTATAAAATTATTGACTTTTGATAAAAATTCTAAATCAATTTGATTTTCCAACTCTTTGGCAGATTTTAATAGAAATTGTTCTTGAATTGTATCTTTTAAAATATTTAAAGAATTTTGGAATTCAGTTGGGGTTATTATAATCTCTGGTGTGTTTGAAGATGTTGATTTGGAGGATGTGGTTGGTGCGAATTTGTTTGTTGTTGGTATTGATGATGTTGTATCATCATGAGAAATGTCAACTATTGATTTAATCAATTCAAGAAATTTTAAAACTTTGAATAAGTTTGTTTTGGAAATTAATAAATTTATTAAAGTTTGTACCGTTTCTGAAGTGGTTGTTGAATTTGATTTAATTGAATTGATTTTATGTTGAATTGATTCTATTATTTCATTTAATGATTGGATTGAAATTAATAAAGAATCTATATAATATTCTAATCTTGAAGTTGGTTTCAATTTACTTGTACTTGTTTCATTATTGTTATTGTTGTTATAACTATATGATATGATTGAATTTGAATTGTATAGTTTATCTATTTTGGATTCTAAATCATTTGTTAATTCATTAGTTAAAAAATCAAGATTTGATAATAATAATGATGAACGATGTTGAAGTGATTGAATATTTGAAGAATTTTTCAAATTTGTAGAACTCAAATCATTTGAGAAAAAGGCATCAAGATAAGCATGAGGGACGAATTCATCGTCAAAGAACATTGATAGTAATTCATCAGACATTTTTGGTTATAAACTGTTCAAATATTATCGTCTTGATCATGTTGACATGTTTATTTTCCAAAATACGTAGGTATCTTTTTACCCATCAACACATAACCATTACCAAATATGGTAATTATTAGTCACGTGAAATAGCGGCACATAAATGACTAGTCAAATGGGATGCCAGAAGACTTCGTTATCAAAGAGGGCTTGGCCGAGTGGTTAAGGCGTCAGATTTAGGTTTCAATTTCTCAGGAAATTAGAAAATACTCTGATATCTACGGATGCGCGAGTTCGAATCTCGTGGTCCTCAATATTTTTTTACGTAAGCCGCGGATTTTGGCCAGGGCTTCAAACCTAGTGGTGATGTTTTTTTTTTGGAATTTTGAGAGGTGTTTGAATGGCGAATACAACAATTGGGAAAGAAGAGAATAGAGGAGTTATAACAAAATGGTTAGTATTGAAGATTATTATGATTGGATATTTATTAACATATTGATTAGTTGAAACTAAGATCTCTTCAAAAGAAGAAACAAGAAGAATTAAAAGATTCAAATACCAATAACACAAATTATTTATCAAATGATAAACCAACACCAGCTCAATTAAGAATTGAAAAAGATTTAAAATCATTAGACATCCCACCAACGATCCAGTTCAAACAATTAGATTCCTCCAAGATGCAATTTGAAATAATAATTAAACCTGATGAAGGTTTTTATAAATTTGGTATTTTCAAATTTCAAATGACAATTAATAATAATTTCCCAATTGATGCACCAAAAGTTAAATGTTTAAATAAGATATATCATCCAAATATTGATCTTGATGGGAATATCTGTTTGAATATCCTAAGGGAGGATTGGTCCCCAGTGCTAAATTTGAATAGTATATTGGTTGGATTGTTATTTTTATTTTTGGAACCTAATGGGAATGATCCATTGAATAAAGAAAGTGCAGGTGTTTTGATTAGGGATAAGAATTTGTTTAAGAAGTATGTTAATGTTAGTATGAATGGTGGGAGTATTGATGGGGTGAGGTATGATTATGTGCATTGATGAATAAGATATGAATATGATGATTTAAGTAGTGTCTTTTAAATAGCCGAGGTTAAACACTTCAAGAGACTAATCGTATCTAGTTCGTCTTAAAATCTACTATAAAGGTTAATCATAAATTCATATATTTGCAATGCCTCAAGCAAAAGAGAGTATAAAAAACCAACCCAAAACGACATCAAATTAAACCAACTTTAAATGTTCCAATATATATAACGACCATTACCCAAAACCCAGTGGGATAATGTCATCAACTTTTCATTCCTCTAATTATTTCCATAAATTCCTTATAATCTAACAACTGGACCTGCAGTTTCCACTTCACCATCAGAATAAACAGTTGGACGATCAAACGAAGTTGATGAAGTTGATTGATCTTGAGGGATTTGAGACTCTTTATTAATCAATCTAAAAGAGTTGTTTGTAGCACTTAGGGCTAAGCATCTTATAGGATGGATTGTTGTGTAGTTGTTTATTGGTAGTTTAATTCTTGCAGCAGTTGTGAAGTTTTTAAGTTTTAGGATTTGGACCATTGTGATTGATATTGATAGTGATAGTGATAGTGATAATGATAAAGAATAGAATCAATCAATTGATGGGTTCTGTGATGGTTTATATAATTGGAATGTGGTTGTGCAACGGCTGTCCGGATCAGCTGTCAAGAGGTGTCAAGGGCTAATGTGGAACGATCACCAGAGAGAAATGGCAGGGACAAGGGGGAGGTGATCATATAATCAGTTAGAGTAAAGTAGGGTATATTCTATCAATGGTTTATCTATTATCAATCAATCTATTCTATTATTCTATCATCTATTGATTTATCATCTATTAATCTATCTTTCAATCTATTCTATTGTATCTCTAATATCTATCCATTATCTATCTAATTCTACCTCTTCTATGACTCAACTACCCCGGATTACATAACACTCTTGGACTTATGGAACTTGCTCCCTCTCAGCCTAACGTCAGCCCATGAGCCTATGAGCCATGAGCCATGAGCCTAACACTTTAATTACCCCCGGCCAATTCAATCACCTCATTTCAATTGCTCTATCTAATCTCTCCAATGTCGTCATTCAATTAACCACCGGCTCAAAATTTAATTACAAATTTTCATACACCCACGAAAAACAAAAAAAAATTTCACCATCATCGAAAATATACACCATCCATATACCCCAGATTTCAACTTTAACCACCTACATGCCACTCCCTCCATGACTGAACTCTTACCAAACTATGACCAAACTATCCTATTCATCAAAAAAGATTCATCAGCATCTTTCATAAGTGGTGGATTCGCCGGTGCTATATCAAGAACTGTCGTTTCACCTTTTGAAAGAGCTAAAATTTTATATCAATTACAAGGCCCAGGCCATGCTACTTATAAACATGGGATTTTCCAAACCATTGCACAAATGTGGAAAGATGAAGGTATAAAAGGTTTATTTAGAGGTAATGGATTGAATTGTATAAGGATATTCCCTTATAGTGCTGTACAGTTTTATGTTTATCAAAAAATTAAACTATATCTGTTAAAACCTGATCAATTTGAATTGAATAATTATCAAAGATTAATAGCTGGTGGGATTTGTGGTACGGCAAGTGTTGTTGTGACTTATCCTTTGGATCTTGTAAGAACAAGATTATCAATACAAACTGCAAATTTATCCAAATTGAAAAAATCTAAAATTGATGCTTTTGAAAAACCTCCAGGTTTTATTAAATCTTTAATCCATATATATCAAAATGAAGGTGGATTTTGGTCATTATATAGAGGTATTTGGCCAACAACTTTAGGTGTTGCACCCTACGTGGCTATAAATTTCGCAGTTTATGAACAATTGAAAGAATTAATACCAAATTCTTCATCAACTACCAAATTATTATTAGGTGCAATTGCTGGAGGAGTGGCTCAAACTTTAACTTACCCCTTTGATTTATTAAGAAGAAGATTCCAAGTACTAACAATGGGTCAAAATGAATTAGGTTTCAAATATACAAGTGTTGGTGATGCCTTGGTAACAATTTTTAAAACTGAAGGTATAAAAGGTGCTTATAAAGGCCTGACTGCTAACTTGTTTAAAGTTATACCCTCAATGGCTGTTAGTTGGTGGAGTTATGAATTAATTAAAACTGCAATAATGGAGTTGTAATAGAATGTACTTATAGAATTACTTTTCCTAGTTGTACACTTTCACTTCCCCTTTGGGAAGTCTACCTCAGCCAACCAAATTTAAAACAATTGGTGCGAATTTTTTTTTTAATTTTTTTTTACTGAGAATTCGCGAAGTTCAAAAATGTCGTTCAATAACCAGGCAAAGGAAAAAAAAATAAGATCATGATAAAACTAACACCATTGCATTGAATTTCATCAAATATATTTCAAAACATATAAAAATGAGAGCTTCAAGAGTTTTATTAAATGCTTCTGTATGTATGAATTACAATAATCCTGTTTTTCTGGTCTAATTTCAACAACCTCCAGAAAACTGTGATGTCCATATCATATCTCCTTTACTAACTCCAATTTAGAAAAAAGGTGGTTTTAACATCCCATTAGAATTGACCCCATTATTTGTTGCTATGGGTGTTGCTGTTGCTTCTGCTGGATTCTTCACTTATAAAAAATTGGCTTATGATGGTTCTTTAAGATTAACTAGAAATCCAAGACAACAAAGTGATGATTTAAGTCAATATTTGAAAAAAGATGAAGAAGTTAAAAAATCTGATTAGAAAAATTCTAGTAAGATGAGATGAGAAGGGGTCTTTTTTGTATTGCATTATTTATTACAACAACAACACAATTATTAGTATATTCAAAAAAAACAACAAGAAGATTATTACAAACTATGAGGATTCTATTCCCTTCATATAAGAAATTGAAAGGTTCAGAGATTATTTCATTGGTTTTAATTTTAAATAAATGAATTTTTTTAAAAGAATGCTATCTATGTACAATTATCTTGATTCTCTATTCTTTTAAATTGGTATAATAATCTGTAACATCACTTATATCTTCCAACATTTTAATAAATTTTTCATACTTCTCTTTAACTTCCTCATCACTTATCTCAACCATCATATCCTCTTTTGGAATATAAACAATCCCCAACTCTTTAACTTTATACTCCTGTTTAATCAAATCTGCAATCTTACTCGTATCATTAGGACTCGTTATAATTTCGAAAACATCACCATCTTCAATCTCTTCAATATCCTCAACTCCAAAATCAATCATTTTTTCAAAAACTGAATCAAATTCATGATCCTCCTTCTCGATAACTATCAACCCTTTCCTATCAAATTGAAACAACGTTGGTGATAAAGATCCACTATATTTGGAGAAAACTGAACGAACTAAACTAATAGTTCTAGCTTTATTATCTGTTAATGACTCCACAATAAATGAAACTCCACCGGGACCAATCCCTTCATATGTAGCACTCTCAACATTCGATTTCTCCCCAGTATTACCTGTCCCTCTCTTGATTGCAAACTCTATAACTTTCTTGGTAACATTGTTTTTAGAAGCTTGTTCAATTGCAGTAGCTAATCTGAAATTTGCTCCAGGATCTGGACCACCCACTAAAAAACTATTAGTACTCTAACACCACTCGATATGCTCTTTACATACACTTTGCTGCAACCGCTATAGCATTTGCAAATTTATTTGCAACTCTATTCTTTTCTGCATCATTCTTAGCCTTATCATGCTTAATAGTGGACCATTTGGAATGACCACTGAGGGTTACAGAGGTGGTGCTGAATAGTCTGATGGGAGTACGACCTAATCGACTTGTACAACTCAACATTATGATACCCTTCACCCTTTGGCTTTAGATACTTGGTGCTTTAAAGATGAAAAAACCAAAAGATCAGTACAATATACATTCGCGAAAAACAGTTGAACTTGTTGGAGGGTAAATTTCAAATTGTTCGAAAATTGGGGGCTGCCAAAATTCAAGAGTTGTTAATTAACGTATTAGACCTTTATATATCCAATTGGATTAATCCACAAATGTCAGAGGCCCAGAAGAAAAGAACACTCTTAGCAGTGATAGGAGATGAAGACACCATAACAGGGATGCTCCTAGCTGGGATTGGACAAGTTGATGATTCTTCAAAATCTAAAAATTTTTTCGTTGTGGATTCCAAAACTACTGAAGATCAAATTGATGAATCATTTGAAGAATTTGTTACGAAAAGAGATGATATTGCTATATTGTTAATAAATCAACATATTGCTGAAAAAATTAGATTTAAAGTTGATAATTTTACTAATGCGTTCCCAGCAATTTTGGAAATTCCATCAAAAGAACATCCTTATGATCCTGAAAAAGATTCAATCTTGAGAAGAGTTAGAAGATTGTTTGGTGAATGATTGGGGGTCATGTTTTTGAAACGTTACGAAAGGGTTACTTAGAAGTTTGAGTTTTTTTTGGTTTAAACATTAATTTTTAATACAATGCAGGTCATAGAAGGTTTTTGTAAAGCAAGAAAAGTAGGTCTACAAATTGAATTTGTTTTCATTATTTTTATTGTAGAATAGTACACTTGGATCTAGTTTGTTTCATTTCTTATTCTTTTTTTTGTTCTTTTTTTTATTCTTCTTCTTTGATGATCCATCACCTCCTGTTGATTGTTGTTCTTTGGTTTCAACATCACCATTTGTTTCAACTTCTTCATCTTCATCCTCGCCGTCATCACCTTCAACTGGTTCTTCATCACCATTGGTTTCCTCAATTGGTTTAGTTTCCTCTGCTAACACAGATTCTTGAGGTTTTGAAGTTGGATTAATTTCTAGAGGTTCATCAATAGGTTCTTGCGTAGCAATTGGCTCCTCAGAAGGTTCCTCTGTTGTAATTGGATCCTCTATAGACTCTTCTTTAGACTCTTGGACAACAGGTTCTTCACTAGCAGTTACACTTTCAACAGGTTCAGTTATCTGTTCACTTGGACCTTCTTGTTTAGACTCCAATTCATTTGGATTTGAAACTTCAACTTTCTCTTCAGCAATAGGTTCAGTAGATACAGCTCCTTTAGATTCAACTTCAGAGGTGACTTGTTCAGTTTCCGCGGTTTCTGTAGCTTCTGGTTTAACTTCAGTCTCTTGTTCTTTTGGTTCAACATCTGCTGATTCTTTTGAAACTTGTTCAGTTTCTGTAGCTTCTGTAGAGTCTGGTTTAACTTCAGTTTCTTCATTTTCAGTTGAATCAATTGGTACATCTTCTAAATCATCTTTTGGAGTTTCTTCAGGTTGTGGGTCCAACTCTTTTGGTGGTTCAACTTCTTTTGGAACGCTGGTTTCATTAGATGCCTCAGGTGTATTAGTTTCAGATGCAACAGTTTCAGTTTTTGGAACAGATTTCTTAAATCTATGTTGCTCAAGATTTTGTGGATCAGCATCAAGATAAAAATTTCTAACACCTATTATTCTTCTTTCAGTTTCAGAAGCTTTTAACCATTCAGGTCTAACAACTGGAATGTTATTATCTAATGCCTTTTTATATTGAGGACCCAAACCTAAAGTACATATGAAATGTGTAGTATCAACTTTAACTTCATCTTGTAATGGTTTAGCACCCATATTAGCTAATGAACTTTCAATATCTTCACGGGTAATACCTTCTTTTGGATCAATCTCACCAAGACATACCGTTATACCACTTAGATCAGTCATTTTATGAGTTCTCAATTTAACTGGTTCTGATTGATAAATACCAGCAGTTGTATCTAATCTTAAATGAAATTCATATGGTGTATCAACTGGTAAACCTGATAATTTTGTCGTTGTATTAACTAAAGGATTTGGAATTTGCCCCAATCTTGAATTGTTTTTATATAAAGTTAATGATTTAATATTAGCAGATCCAAGATCTAATTGTTCCCATTCTAAAACTGCACTAGTTTGTGTAACATTCTTGATCTTTAAAATTGGAGCTTTTGGTTCATTTTTACCAAACATTTCCAAAATTTGTTCTTGAACATCTTCAAATATATTCTTATCTTTAGCTTCTTCATCTAAATCTTGATCACATTTGATTGTAACAACAGATCCAGCACTAACACCATCTGGTAATAAGATTGTTGGAAATTCAATTAAATGATGATCTTTTGTCAACAACAATGCTAATGAAGCGTCCAATTTACCAACAGTAAGCGATACTTCCACCATGACTTTCAACTTTTTATACACTTAATGGGGTTTTTTTTATTGTCAATTGAGCGTTGTTTTGTTGAGATTTCAAATCTTGTTTAAGGCCAGTTGGTAAATACAAATCGTTCTTCTCCCTTTCAATTACAGCCCGCGAATTTTCTTGACAGGGGTCAACCGGACACTAAACAGTGCTCTAAGCTGTACTTATACACTACAATTCAAACACAATAATGCATTGTTTCTCATGAGTATTCAATCTTTACGGGAACCAAGGCTCCTTGCTCAAAGAATGTGTCTGTATTCCAGAGTAACATTCTACTAATGATACCACAAATGTACTCAATCCCATCTTCACGAAGTTCTTCAATTCTTTCAGTATAGAATGTAAGTACTGGCCAACAATGTATTTGGTTTGATCTAGGATCAAATTTGGTCTTCCCAACTACACTCATCCTTTCTGCCAAATCAGTTATTTCATCTCTCAAATACTCTTCATCTCCACATGTGATATAAGCACCATACCTGGGGAAGGCTTCTTGCCAAATATCTAAAGATTCACAATAACCTGGATTCCTGTAATGATCAATTATTGGATCAAAAATATCATCAGTATCGCAGGATTCTTTCTCCAAATCATCTTTCTTTAACTGTTCAATTTGTTCCCTCAATTGAATAAATTGTTCTTCTCCAATGTATTCTTTTGATAATTTATTCATCACTTCATAGTTGATGAAATCTTCACTAGTTCCAGGATATGATTTTTCTTCATAGTACATCTTTGTCCACGGTGATATTAAAACCAATGCAGAAGGTTTTTGTAATCCTATTACTGGTATTGGAATGAAATTATATGGTGATGCAATATGGAATAACAAAGCCAATGCTAGTAATCCACCAGAGCCATCTCCAGATAAGACTAAATGAGCTTTGGAAGCTTTCAATTGAACATATTGCCACGCTTCTGATAAGTATCTAAGGTCATCATTAAAATTTCCTTGCTGATAATCAACAATAAAGATGGCTGGGTTCTTGAAACCTTGCTCTTGTAAACAAACTAGCACAACATTCAAAAACTCCACATAAAACCAAGGTGAACTTTGAATAAACCCACCACCATGAACATAGAAAAGAACAAGGTCAAAATCAGTATCATTAGCACATCGACAAGGTGAAGTTATCCAAATCCCCTTGATACCTTCTTCTTCACTATACTTAAATTCTGAATCATTCAATTTGGCAAAACCTTGTCTGTAACACCTATAATACAAAAACCATTTTGAGAGCGACCGTCCATTGAAAGCAGCACCTAATGTCTTTGGATCAAGATACTTGTAGTTGAATTTCAAAAACTTGGATGTACAGTATTCATATAGCGTTGCCCTTTGTGAATATGTTGATTGATAGAAGAATGAAGTAAACAAACGTTTAATTAAAAGATCACAGGGGAGCAAGACAACTAGACAAGTTAGTATTGGAATGCAAAAAAACACAATGGTATCTTCACGAACAACTAAAGTACATTGAATTCATGATGAAAATTACCAATCCCACAACACCATGATTCTTCAACACTGAGATCCACAAAAGAATAATGAAAACCACTGTATCAGTGTAAGTGATCTCTTCCATAGTAACATCAAGGCCGTTTAAAGTCCTTTGCTCTTCAATTGAAATCAACCGCCCTGTCGATTGAAATCTTTATGCTATAATAAGCTTTCCAAGATGTTCTTCGTTTTTGATGAAATTCCAAAAAATCATAGAGGCTTCCCTTCACAAAAAAAAACGTAGAGCGAATAGGTCAGCTTACAACACATAATTCTATCATTACCCAATTAACCATTATATTTATAATAATATGTACATCCATAAAAACCAGTTCATAGTTCAGACAAAGTTTTGTTTAAAACTTTAACGAAAAGATCAGCATGTTTCTTTTCAAAAGTTAATGTTGGTCTTAATCTAACAGAAACTTCAGCACAACCACCAATATTGACACCATTTTGTTTCATCTTGTACAAGAAGGCATTTCTAGCAGCACCGCTTTCTAAATCCCATGCAATGAAGGTAGCTCTGTTTTTACCTCTCAAGTTTTGTAATTTAGTTGGATATTTAGCTGCAACTTTTTCTAATTCAGAATACAAATAATCACCAACTTCTGCAGCTTTAGCGACTAAACCTTGGTCTAAAACTTCTTTACCAATGGCACCAGCTAAAATCATACGAGCTGGATCACCACACCAAGTGTTGAATTGTCTATAAGCAACATTTGGAACGAATTTTGGATCATGGAAGAAATAACCAGCAGATTGGAATTTTTTGGAAAATGTAACTAAATCTGGAGCTGGAGAAATTTTGAAGTGTTCATGAGCCCATAATTTACCAGTAGCACCTAACCCAGTTTGAACTTCATCAACAATGAAAACAACACCATGTTTCAAAGTGATATCTCTTAAACCCTGGAAGAATTCAGCTGATGCATGATTATCACCACCTTCTGATTGAATTGGTTCAATGATCAAGGCAGCAATTGGAACAGACCATGTTTTGATTAAATTTTCAACAATGGCTAAAGTACGAGCATCTTCAGCTTTGTTTTCTTCAACATGATCTTCTAATGGGTATTGATATGATGGGAATTCAGCCTTTGGCCATTTGAATGATGGTAAATCTAATTTATGAACAGGTTTTGAAGCAGTGACTGAAGCAGAAGCAAACAAACGACCATGGAAGGCTCTTTTGAATGATAAAACAGCTAAGTCTGGAGAACCTGGAGCTTGATTTTCCATAGTTGATTCATTTTCTTCAGTAGTGAAATCAGCATTACCTCTTTTTTGTTGTTGATACCACATGAATGCAGCTTTGAAAGCCAATTCATTAGCATCAGCACCTGAAAGACCATTCCAAACTTGATCTTGACCTTCTGGAGCAACTTTTAAAACGTTTTTAATGATACCTTCTAGATCTTTACCTGGGAAATTACCTAAAGCTGGTCTTTCAATAATTGCTCTCAACATTTCTGGGGATTTAGCAGCTTCAATTAAAGCTGGGTTATTGTAACCTAGAGGAACTGAGGCAATTTGTGCATAAGTATCCAAATAGACATTACCGTCAACATCGGCAATGAAGTTACCTAATGATTTTTCATAATCAGCAATAAAGTAAACAGGTCTTGAATCAAAGACTTTACCTAAAGATTCAATACCAGCTTTTGAAGCTGGACCTGGGATTTCAGCAGTCTTGATGACTGGTTCAGTTGGTTCGTTTGGGTAGTATTTAGCAGCAACAGACATAATTGAAGAGAGCTGATGATTGAAGTGGATGTAAAGAATTGAAAAGGGGAATTAGGATATTTGATCCTCTTTATACTTTTAATTTTTCATAGCATAGTAGGCATCGATTCATAGTTTTTGATTGCGCGGGAATGAGCCTAAACGGTGTTTTGGATCCTGGCGGGTTTGGCGATGAGGTTTCTGCTTGAGGAAAGGTTAGGCTGCGATGGTGGCCCGATAAGAAGTATAACAGACCGTTGAAGAGACAGATCAAGATGTGATTAGGCAGACGGCAGATGAATGAAGGAAGGAATGAACGTTTAAGGAGAATGAACTGTCGATATGTCAATAAGTCCATCCAGAACAGGCACACGATCAAACAAATATTGATTCATGAAGGAAGTTCAAACAAGTCTTTCGCGATGGATATTAAATAGGTACAAATACCACGAGTTCTTGATCAGTTTCAAGAGGATAAGAAAGAGAGAGGTGCTAGAATGATTATTGATTACTTCTCATATTCCGCTTTTCTGGACGAATCTGCCAATGCCCTGTACATTGTGCGGGAGTTGAAGTTCAAGTGAGGTGGTTCAAAGTGCCAACGAACTTTTCCTCTTCAACAATTCGTCAAACTGGTTGTAAAGTGCTCGCAATATCATGCCTTTAAGCTCAAGTTATTCAAACCTCTAGGCAAATTTTGACTCGAGAAGACGCTTATATATAGACATCCAGCTCAGCCCAAGTTCGTTAGTGAGCTTTTCTTTAAGAGGCCGCGCGCGAAATGGCCGAATTTGGACTACATTGTTTAGCGAGGAACCCATAAACTGAAGGCAATAAGCTTTTGTTTTACGAGATCTAAATATATGTACGTCTTTGAATTTAAGCTAAAGCCTAGTGGGAAATGGGAAGAGATCGAGTGCAGGGCAACGACAAGGAAACTTGTCATTAAAGTCAAGTTCTCACCATCTACAACTTCAGCTTTCATCTACAACTTCAGCTTCAAGATATCAAAACAGGTACTAGATTAGCTTCCAGATTGCCTTCAATTAATAAAGGAAAATTATATACATGCATCTGTGAGCTGTCTAAAAGTGTCTAACATTAAAGTGATATAAAAAAGGGGATTAACAGAAACTAGCCAGTAACAAAAAAAAATAGCCCAAAAGAACGAATTAAAAGGAACTCAAAAGTTAGAATAAACCATTTCTATTAAAAGCACATCTGGAATCTCAATAAACAAAGTGATTAAAAAAATTCCCTTTGAGTTCAATTTTCCTTCTTCATAACTTCCTTTTTTTGCTTTGTGAATTATCATTAAAAAGCCGTAACAACATAATTATTTATTTAAAACACCATCATCATAAATATATTTTTTCTTCTTCCTTTCATTTCATCTTTTCTCTATGTAATATTTTTTTTGTTTCTCATTGAATATAAAAGGTAGTAAGTGCTCTCTATTTACAGAGAATCATCATGTTCATGGACATATTTCAGTTTCATCCCATTGATCATCATCATATCTTGAGTAAACATAACGACTTTGATGACCATTAAGGTTGGCGTAATCCACTTTATCAGCTAATAACAAAACCAATGCAAAGTTTTTGGCACCATCAACTTCATGAGAGCCATCAACACCCCTCGATATAGAATCTAGTAATTTTTGCTTTTCTGGTGTTATAATTGAACCAGGTTCAGGTTTTCTAAAACTTGATTTCAAATTTCTTGATAAATCTTCCCATTTACCTTTCAATTCACTTTCCCATTCTTGCGGTGAAGGATTTGATGGGGCTGATGTGTTGTGATGTTCAGTATTTGATAAATCCAGACTTGATGAATATTGTTTTATAACATTTGGTGAGATCAATGGATAATTACCCAATTCATGATTAAAAGTAGTTGTGTTATTCATTGTTAATAATTTGGCATCACCACTTACTCTGAATTGTTCATTTGTTGCTGGGAACCAAAAGCATGCTTCAAATTTTGGATTAGTTTTTAAATGTTCAAATTTTTCCATCCTTATATCTGTTGTAAATGTAATTACATTAGTTTTTTTATCATTGAAAATGAAGCCTCTATAAACACACGTTCTAACTTTTGGTGCACCATTAGAATCAACAGTAGCAAATGAAAATGTGATAAAAGATGCGGTTTCTAATTGCCTTGTTACAGCATTAGTAAAAGCAGGAACCCACGGAGCCATATACTGCATTGTTTTGTTTTGAATTCTTTTTTGAAAACTTGTGAGGTTTATGCAATTGCCTTAACGATTATTATTTGATTGAAAATGCAAACTTTTTAGTGTAAATGATGATTTGATCTCAATAAAATGGAAAAGGAGGAAAGTAAAACTTGTTCTTAACGTGATCGACCGAAATAAACAGCCAAAAAAACAAATTCCCGTCAGTCGATTTTTGATCTTAAATAAAACTTGGAGACAGAAAAAAGATTATCACCAGCTATGACAAGGGTAAGGAAAATTATCTTTGAATCAATTCCTAGAGTTTTTTTTTTTCAAAATGCTTTTCAAAAGTCAAAAGACCAATTAACAGAAATTTTTTCTCGTTCTACTCTCAAATCGACGGTCGCTTTTTTTTTCACCACTTTTCTGATCAACGTGTGTGGAAAAATTATGTAATCCCAGTACAATAAAAGTATCGCCAGATCAAAAAGAGCCGTCTAGACTGAAGGGATCAACTGATTAGAAAGGGATCAATATGCTGTGGTGTGTATTTACATTAGTGGTTATCTATTTACATGAACGGATTTGTTCTTGTTTGCGTTGTTGATGGGGTTTTTGTTCCTGAGTGATTGACAATTGGTCGTCGCTGCACTCCGAATTTTAGCTAGCGAACAATAGTGTTCCTTAAGTTATCGACAAACGCAAAATCATCTGGATTGGCACCTGACAGCCTATACTCTTGCTCACTATCCTTAAAAATCAATTTTCCTTCATTGTCTGTCAACAATTTGGTTTGGATTTCTTCCCAAATCTTTATTTTTAATCTTGTTGGTTTTCCCTCTGGTACAAATGGCTTGAAATGTAATAATTCACCAACAGCACTCGACACAGGTGGGTGAACAACTTCAACTTTTGAAGCATCATCATTTTCTGAAGCTAAAATCATTGCTTCTGATTTGATTCCTCTCATTTTGGAAGGTTTTAGATTGGTTAATAGTACAACTCTTCTACCCAATAATTCTTCTCTATCAACAAAGTTCACTAATCCACTACACACGGTTAATGGTGTGGCATCTTCTGCATCTGAAGTAAATATTTTTGAAACGTATAGCTTATCAGCATCTGGATGTTTGTTACATTCTCTTATTTGACCAACTTTCAATTCAAGTACTGATGGTTTGATACTTTCTTGATTTTTAGGTTAGTTCTCTTGAATTGATTCAATGATTCTAAAAATTTGACTTACGAGCAGCATCTGTACTATTGAGTCTTACTATGTTCTTCAACACGCTAGGTGAGCTTCTTTTAAATCCAATTGGTAGCATCTTTGACTGTATTTCATCGTGCTAACGTTGGCTTTCTTCCTTCTTGTTGATACTCTTTTCCACCTCATCTCTGAACCTTCGAAAATTGACAGACAATAAAAGCTACAGATTATTAAGTACATTCATTTTTCATTCACCTAACTATAGATATATTTTCAGTTTGCTCATAAATCTAAATAAAAATCTCAAAAAGCATCTCAAAAATGATTCAATGGTAAAATGTTTGGAATTGGACCTAATGGAGTAATTTTATGAGGGTTGATACCAATATGTGATTTGGTGTAGTGGAACTTGATATGCTCAAAATTAACAGTATCTTTGATCAATGGATTATTCCAGTAGGTTTCTCTAACCCATTTATGAAGATGTGGATAATCAGAACGGATTGTACCAATGTTACACTTGAAATGTTGAACGTAAACAGGGTCAAATCTAATGATTGTAGTGAATAATCTGATATCAGCTTCAGTTAATTTATTACCAGTCAAGAATTTCAACCCTTTTTCATTGTTCTCTTTCAAAAGTTTTTCAACTTTATCTAAATGAACAAATAAATTGGTAACTTCTGATTCATAAACTTCTTGCTTTGTAGCAAAACCTGATTTATAAACAGCATTGTTGATATTTTCATAAGTCAATGTGTTTAATGAATCAATCTTGGATTGTAGATCTAAAGGATAATAATCCAAATTCTTCTTTTCAGGATCATCAATCAAATCATTGAACTCAGTGTTTAAGAATCTAATGATTTCGGCACTTTCATTATTGACAATTGTTTTAGTTTTTTTATCCCACAAGACAGGAACAGTAAAACGACCTTCATAATCTGGTTGAGCTTTATAGTATAATTCTGATAATCTCTTGAAGTCATAAAGATGATCTGGAGTGGCAGCAGCAGCCAAATCACCTTCACTTGGGAATCTCCAACCTTTTTCATCCATACTCCAATGGACAACAGATAAACCAATAATTGAATCTTTGGAAACTTCTGTTGTTTGAGGATTGAGATCTTTAATCAAACCTTTAGTGGTTAAATAGATCAAAACTCTGTGAGCCCAAGGACAAGCAAGACTGATGTAGACATGATAACGACCAGCTTCTGGTTTGAATTTACTATCAGCTTTTCTTGAAATCACATCTCTAAAGACTGAAGCTTTTCTTTTGTAAGCACCATCTTTACCGGCGAATTCTAAAATTTTTAACCCTTGCTTTGTCTATCGAGAGTATTAGTATCCATGATAACCTAAGGGTCAAAAACATTGCGACTTACTGATTGTGACATGTTGAATAAATTGATCAATTGAATCTGCTTTCAATCAATTGATGTGTTTTTGTTCTTTGTTAAAGCGATTTAATTCTCTTTTATACTAACAAGAATAAATTGTCATCGTTTGAAATTAAGTTCTTGCTCTGGCTTAGGTGCTGATTATTCATACTTTACACTCATCACGAATTCCTTAGTCAGCTTGGAGACCATAAGGCCATGCACTCGTAACCATTCCTCGATCGAACGCCGCAACTTGGATTTGAAAAGTGGTTGAGGCGGTACTTGGGATGTTGGACTTTTCGAGATCTAAAGGGTTAGTGTTATTCAGAACTGAAAAGCGTTGTTTGGGTGCTCAGCTGTTGATGGGCTCTCTCAAAGTGGTAATAGCTCAACGTTGATTCTTAGCTTTTTCTTTCAGGGCAAAAGAATTTTTACTGGATACGTTTATAGAAAAGTTTTCTCAAGGCCTCAGTCAATCGTTTCAGATCTCAAGCGAGAAGGTGAACATTGAAAGCATCGTTAACAGGATAATAGATCATAACTATTCACATTTAGCTGCTACAGAACTAAGATTTAAAAGGTTGTTTGACGCTACCGGATTTCAAAAGCATACATCAGGGCCCGAAGTTTTCACACCTGATCGTTATATCACTTTTTTTGCAATACCAAAAACATTTTTTTGAACTTTAGAAGAATTTGAAGAAATAGTCAATCAAAACAAGGCGGCTGTTAATAGAAGGTTGTTTAAGGTCTTTTGTTTCGTGAATCATTCATTTGGAGAAAGTTGGTATCAAGATGGAATCCACCAGAGATAGTAGTATGGATGGGTTGATGATTCTGGGGAATTTAGCAGAGCAATTTGGCCGCCTTCCAACAAACAATACATCTGGTCATTCTTTGGTAGGTTATGATAGTGGTTCTGGGGCTGGTGATGTGAACCAGCTATTTCCACCAAGAAATGTTCTTTCGATAGGTGAATTAATTGATACCCGTCCAAGTTCAAGTTATTTCCATCATGTTTTGAACACATCATCCACAGATAATGAGAGCAGTAAAGAATCCAATAAATTAGAGAACACTATAGAAGAAAAGCCATCACAAACAGAGTCATCACCATTGACGTCCGCTGAAAGTAGTGAAAACTCATTGGAACATACACCACAAATAAACAACACGTCCATTGAAGAAAGTAATGACATGAAACTAGCATCACCAACTGCTTCCAATCACAGTAACCAGGATTCAGATTCAGAGGATAGACCTTATGGTTGTTCAGCACCAAATTGTAAATGGACTTTCAAGAGAAAATCAGATCTTCTGCGTCACAAGAAAAAGCATGAAAAACCAAAATATGAATGTCCATATTATGCACACAGCAAGTCAAAAAATCATAAAGGTGGCCATTCGTTTACTAGACTCGATGTTTTAAAAAGACATTTGCGTTCAATTCATTTTTCACCATACTCTGCAAATGAAACCTATGCTGGTTATTGCAAATCATGCTTTATGGTTTTCAAAAAAATCAAAGAATTTACAGACCATTGTGAAAAATGTTCCCAAAGCTCCATAAATAACGTCATGAATACCCCTGATTCTTTGATAGGATAGGCTCTTCTTTTCAAATGACCAACAACTTTACTTGCATCACGATTACACATTTTTAACGTCCTTATTATACTGCATTTCATTTCATTTTATATTTAAAATTTATTGATACATATATTAGAATTATTATGATATAGTTTATCAAGTCCAAGTAGTTACCATATATAGTTCCATTGATTGTAATCCATTTAATGTCCACTTTGCACAGCATCCAAATGTCCATCGTTTATATCGTTCACAATAGTAACACCACTCTTTTCATAGTACTCATCAGTTTCATTGATTTTTTCAGTGTTGATAGCCTTGCTCAATGGTTTCAAAACAAATGTTTTATACCCCAATTTACTACTTGATTCTGCACTAAATTTCACACAATAATCATAAGCGAGACCGACAAGGAAAACATGAGTGATACCATTCTCTTTCAAAAATGAATCCAGTTCAGTTTTATTGTCATCCCAAATATCATTGAAAGCACTATAATAATCACGATCCTGTAAAACACCCTTTTGGACAATTGTCTTTGGAGCATTGACTTTTTTATAAGCTTCAATCAATTGGTCAGGGAACCCAGAACCATGACAATGTTGAATACAATGGTTTGGCCAAACTGTTTCCAATGATTTAACATTTGGATCTTTAGTTGATGTGAATTCAACCTGTCCAAAAGGTTCAACATCTGCATGATTTGAAGCAAACGATGTATGATCTTTTGGATGCCAATCTTGACTGAAAGCAACTGCATCCCAATGATATTTAGATGAATCCAAAAGGTCAAGAACATCAGGGATGATTTTGTCACCATCTTGAACGGCCAATGAACCACCTGGTAAGAAATCATTTTGGATATCAATCACCAATAAAGCATATTTGTCAGGCATGTTAACTATGAAAGGCTGTTTTTGAGTAGACTGAACTGTTATATGTTAAAGCAAGATCAACTTGAATGGTTTGTGATTTTGATAGAAAAGTTTTTGAAAAGATCGAGATTGAATCTGATTAATGTACCTTTGGTTATTATATGGATTGTGATTTTATTTATGTTGCATGTTTTGCTTCCTAAACAAAGCAATCTCTCCATAACTGATCTGTGTGGAAAAAAAAATTGAAGTGAACACGACTTGGACCCATATTGAAAGCAGGCGTGGTTTAAAAGTTCAAATTAACCGATATTTTGTTAGTAGATGGCTTTCCTAAATAGCCATGGCGAGTATTCTGAGATTTGATTGATGTATGAGTACTATGATCTTAAAAGATCACGGAACTGGTCCTCTTTCTCGCAACTTATCCAGACTTCAAAGAGGATTGTGTCAGATTTGAAGGAAAAAAAAACCAAAAAACATCCCATTTAGGTAATAGCACATATTCGGAAATAACGAAGATAAATCAAGTTTTTTTTCAAATAACTTCAACATGTAAACACTTACAAACAACAATGTAAACACGCAAAACGAGATGCCAAAGGTGAATAGCTGCTATAATGATGGGTTTATGGTGATATTTCGGTGATTTTCTGATGAAAACTGCTATATAGCGACAGTTTTTATCACTTTGTTTGATGTATTTTTCGCGTTGGTTTCGAGTTTGTTGCAGGAAGGCGAAAAAATTGTGAAATCTGGTATTGGGCTGAATCTGGTATATTATTTTGCTTGCCAAAGGTAAAAACAAGGGAAACTTTTTTATAAACCCAACAAAAGATTGAATTTGAATTATTAGAGACTTGTTAAGATTATTGAGGCCAATTGCCTGACCCTATTTTGCTTGATATATTCTCTATTTTCTATTCGCCATGGTCGTCTTGGAAGATCAGTTCAAGAGTTTGGGTCTTTCTAACGAGCCTAAGCGCCAGGGTGCTGGAGAGTTCTCTTTAAGATTCAATGAAGAAAAAGTCTTTGAAATCTTGGAAAGTTATTCAATGGAAACAAAGGATGCTTTAGGGGCTTTGAATAAGTTGATTTTGATTCAAAGAACTGTTGATCCTGTTGTTGATACTTCGAAGGATATAGATGGTGAGATCAGATCTTTGGTTGATCAAGTCACGCCTTTCATTAGAACTTTAGACCTTGATACTCTATCAAAATTTGAATCTGAAGATGTCATTGGGTTTTTGGAAGTTATATCTTTGATGATTGCAAATTTTACTGTTAATGATTTCATCAAAACTGAAATTGATTCATCTCTCATTGACAAGATGCTGACTATTTACTTATCAGTTTTGGAAACTTTAAGATTTGGAAAATTCAAAGGCCATAGCTATTTACTCACTAGAACTTCATTAATCAGCCCTTTATTGATTACCATTTCATTTTCCTTCAAGTTGAAGTCTACGGAAAGCTCAACTCTGATCAAAATTATAGCAGCATTGTTTACTTTACTTATGACCAGGCAATCACTTTTTGATCCGGTTGTTAAACTATTTGCAATGAACTCTACAACAAATATTGAAATGTTTCAAGTTTTCAATAAGTTGTGGGAAAGAACTTTAGAGATCCCAGCTGATTCACAACTTGACACTAAACAATCACCAGGGCCAATTTCAATAATTAATAGAATCAACGCTTTGAGCAATTACGAACTTTCATCAGGTATCATTAACCAAGTTTTCCCATTTATCCCAAGTCAATATATATATCAGCTTTCTCAAAGCTCATTGAAGGCACATACGGTTTTATCAAACATTAAATTAGGAAAGGAAGTATCCAGTAACATTACTGAGTTACTGGGGTTTGTTTTGGACGATTTAAATACAGAAGTTCTTTTGACAATGATTGATACGTTAGATGCCACTGAGCTCTTATTGCAATGTTTTGAAGAAGAACAATACAAATCACAACTAGGTTATGTTTTTGCCAAAATCTCACAATTATCAGATTTTAATATTCATGGCTCGGTTTCAAGAAAATTGATTCCAAAAATTTTAACCAGAGATGTCTTGTTTGAACTTGAGTCATCTGAAAATGAAAGATATAAAGTCCTTTTTGAGCTGTTAGATCATAATCCAAAAATTGACTTTCACTCAGACTTTTCTATGGTTTTTGCCATTGAAGCTGCACTTTCTTTGATTGACAGAGACTTTGATCTTCAAAAAGATTTTTTAATTTTATCAAATTTAGGCTCTTCGGTTAATTTGCCTGCACTCTTTGTTTATTCTGGATTTCTGTTATCCAATGCTTTGTTAAAGTTTGCCAATCCAACAAAGTCACTTCCACATTTTCTTGATGAAATTATGCAGTTGAAAAGGTTTCCACCTTTACCAAAATCAGAGTTTTTCGATTTCAGTCACATTTTCCTTTCCAAATCACAACAGAATTTGAAAAATCCAAGAATTGTTACAAATGCCTTATTTCATTGTCTTTCTATTTTGCACAAGATTGTTACTGGATTTTGTGAAGTTAAAGATTGGGTTCATCCTATACAAAATGTGAACGATACAGATAATGATTTGGAATATCAGGCTACTGATAAATTTTTGTTCCTCAACTACAGTGCATTTTTTGGGGTGTTGCATACCGTTAATGAACTCTTACAGAAATCAACTGGATACTATAATAATGATCATTTTTCTTCAATGTTTTATGATCTTTCATCAATTGGGAATACTTTAAAGCTTCAGACTTTCCAACTCTTTGAGGACTTGTTTCAATTTTATGATACATTTGCTTTTTACAAGTTGGTAAAATTTATTATGAAAGTTAGCATGACAGATTTGGAATTACAAAAGTTTTCAATCAAAATTTTGAACCATCTAGTCTTTCATTCTAATAATGGAATCAAAGACTCAATCAAGGACAATGAGCTCATATTGAAGCTTCTTGAACAATATGTCACACTTTGGAATGATGGTTCTACTGAGTATAAACAATTTGAAAACTTCTTAGGAATTGAACAAACCTCTTCTGAGACGGTGATTTTTGATACAATAAGTCATTTAAAGTTTTTGGGATTTTCTGATGTTGGTATTGCAAGCTTATCGCCAGCAACTTCAAGTTCAGGATCATCAATTCACAATTATAGTTACACAAATAATTCCAATAACTTTAGTGGCATACAAACGAACCTTTCAACTCCAAATAATAGTTTTGGTTTTATTTCAGCATCTGGATGGAAACAACAACCATTAGATAATGCTTCTGGTTATTTCAATATAAATTCAAACATGCTAAATAATAACAACCAAATCGGATTCAGTGGTTCAAATACGCCAGTATCAACAGGAGTTATGGATTATACTACTTACAGAACTAGTAACATTCGTAATGTCCAATCATTCATTCCTCAACAACAACAACAACAACAATATAACAATGGTTTGAATAATAACAGGGCTCAATCAGTTCACGTTGATCAATTTGGAAAATGAAAACCAATACACTTTTTTTTACAGACTGGATTTTAAACTCTACACATACATTCTTTAACTTACTTTTTATTCATTTTTATTTTCACCTTTTATACTCTTTTTGGGACACTTGTTTATTTGCTGGACACTTGCTACAATTTTATTTGTTCTATATTAAATCAAGCTAAATGTTGGTGTTTAGGATTAATCTACAACTTAATATTGTTTAAATATTGATTCATAGACAACTATGCAGTGAAGAATAGAGACATTAAAGATATTCAAATTTGGAATCTAGTCCATTTGAATAAGGTCTCATTTGGATTGACAAATTCTTTCTCGTTTTCTTTTTCATATATCAAACCTTTGCCTTCTCCTTCAGATAAGATGGTGGCTAGATAAAATCCAATATCTTCCAATCTAAAGCCATGACTATATTTCTCTATAGCTTTTTTGACCTGTTCAGCAGTTGAAACAAATCTAGTATTAATTTTGACCCCTTTGATCTTTTCATAATGTTTAACCAAGTCAGTTGCAAGAACTCTGTCAGAATAGATACGAACTTTATCTGGAATTGATGCATAATCATCCTTGGTGACCAAGGCTGCAATAGCATTAGCAATGTCCTTGACATATGTTGGATTGACCAAAGTATTCTCATTTCCTGGGATGGTAACCTCTTTGGTATTTTCAACATCACCGAAGAGATACAACGGAGCATAAGGTAACAATCCATCCTCATTAATGAACACACTTGTGAACAAGTCAACCGTCTTTACACCACCATCTCTAGCAGCAATACTGTGAGCCGTCTTTGTTCCTAAAAAATTTGGTAGAGTATCACTGACGTATAAGTCAGTGCCATATTGGGATGGAATGTATAACTTAATATTGCTTGAAATGATTGATTTCAATAGAATATCATCTTTTGGGTCACCTGGAACACCACCTAAGTTAATAACAACATCAACACCTTCTAAAGCCTTATCAAACCCAACTTCTTTAACATTATAGTATTTAACTTTTGATGATTGAATTCGTCTTTTATCTGATGATGTTAATAAACGAATTGGTGTTTTAATCTTAAAGGCGAATGGTTCACTTAATAGCGCATCAGCAACTGGTTTACCCAAGAAACCGTTCAAACAATTGCAACAGTAGACATTGTGTAAGTGATCTATAACGATGGGAAGGGTTCTTCGCTCTGAAAAGACGGGATCACGCTCTCTTTTATACTTTATTGAACTAGAAAGGGTGGTACCTCATCATCTTAGCTCATTTATAATAATGATAATTTGCCACATTATTACGGTGATTGGTTGTTTGAGCATTGTCAACCTGCTTCATTGCATTGTCTTCAGCTTCTTAATTGGATGAAATTTTCCAGTGCGGTAAACGCACAAACCTGATAATTAATAATCATAATACAAATGTGATTAGAGACATATTGAGTGGATCAAAGTGATCAGATACCATGATCAGATGATTAGAGACCACAAAATAGCCAGGTGAAGTTCGTTGGTGTAATAACGATGTTACGCTGATCAGTAATATACCTAGCTGAGTCTAATATAGCGAATTCGAACACGCAGCTTATCCGATCAGACAGTATAGTTCCACAACAGCTAATTTACAGATTACACACCACCTGCATCAACTGGTATAAGGCTGCAACTACTTGATTCTAATGTCTTATTTGTTTACGATACAAGATATTAAACTTTTTTTTTTTGTATACAATAACGTTTATTTCACTTATACTCATTTACAAATTCACTTATCTAAAAAAAATTGCACTCTAATTTGTGACTCTAATTGAATCTTAGATGCATCAAAAAAAGCTAATAAAGCTGTGTCACAACTGTTTTCTATCATTTCAATATTTTTCTTCTTGTAATTTACGATCCAAGGTAATAATTCTTTGAATTGTATTTGTTTATTTGTGATTTGGCGAAAGTTATCATTGTTTGAACAGCAGCATCATCAAATTTAGGTTCAATTGAACTCCATCTTCTTTGAACTCTGGTGTTCCAGATTATCCCAATGTAAAGAGATAAGTCTTTTAGATGCTTATCTGGATCTTTGATAGGTAATAAATGTTTGAT